TTTCGGTAGTACGTGTGTCACAAGAAGGTTCTTGCATCCCAGGGTGGTATCTGCTAGCGTGAATGGTTGTTCGTTTGTTGCAGGTTCAAATTCAAACGAAAACTAGCCCTGGATCCTGGCAAAGAAGCGAGAACAGAGCCTTAAGACCCCCAAGGTCTACTGATAGCTGGAATGATACCAGCAATGATCAACCCTAAACCTTAAACCATAAACCTTAAACCCCAAACCCTAAACCTTAAACCCTGAGATGATCGCTCTTGTCGTGGAAGAGTGAGGCACTGACGGGCTTCCTGTGCATTGCAGACGGCCTGCCCGACGTTCCCCCCTCCATGAACAGAGAGATGGGACCGTGGCTTAGGGCGCAATTTTTGTGGGGCTCCTAAACCCTAAACTCTAAACCCTAAACCCTTAAACCCCTAAACCTAAACCCCTGAACCCCTAAACCCCTAAACCCCTGAACCCTCATCCCTAAGATCCGACCCTAGGGCCCAATGCAAGCGCTTTGAATCGGTGGGTTCCTCTTTCTCGAGCTTTTCCGTTGTAGCAAGATCGCAAACAGAGAGTTCCCAGAAACTGGAGAGCTTATCCGGATTCTGAGTAGTCGGATCTCCCCCATAGGGGCCGAAAAACAGGATGTACGTTGGAATAACAGCCACCCGCACACGCAGATGCTGCTAGTTCTTCACAGTGCAGACCCCTGATTAGTAAACCTCTTCCCTCCGTGTGGATAACAACGGCAGTCCTACATAATAAACAAATAAATAGTATATATGCATATATATATATATATATATATATGCATATATATATATATGTGATATATATATATATATATACAATATCAGAGACCTACGCTACTCACGCCGCTACTCATTGTTGAGAACGCTGTAGGTAACATATACCTGCATGATCATACATATGCAACCATGTAAACACGTACGTATGGGTGCGTGCGTATACATATATATATATACATGTGTATATATATATAATATACGGACACATGTATGCTGTCATCTGCATATGCATATGCATATGTGTAAGAAGAGTTATATATACACATGTGCAGATGCATCCACGTCTGTATACACTTAGTGGCTGAGTAGGTAACCTTTAACCTTTTGGGGCTCTTATAATCCTACTATAATTCAAAAGGTTAACCCTTTTTTGGGCTAGGGTACTCAGCACCTAAGTACATGTATGCATCTTGCATACAGCTAAGATGCCCTAGACCCTAAACCCTACACACCCTAAACCCTAAATCCCTAAACCATAAACCCTAAACCCTAAAGCCCTACACCCTAAGCCCTAAAACCCTAAACCCTAAACCCTAAAACCCTAAAACCCTAAACCCTAAACCCTAAAACCCTAAAGATGCATTGTGCTGTTCCCAGAGCTCAGACTGGAGCCCAGCCTCGCCCGCCTAGCGGAGCAGGACAGAACGTTCTTCAGACCATGGACTTGGGCAGCAACCGGGCTGAGCTAATGTAGGGGCGTTTTTAAGTACCTGTACTATTTTGGGGGTTCCTTATTATAGATGTATTAGAATATAGGGGCCTTAAAAGAGTACCTGTTTAGGGTCTATAGGGTTTAGGGTTTAGGGGCCTTAATAAGTACCTGTTTAGGGTTTAGGGTTTGGGGTTTAGGGGGCCTTAAGAAGTACCTGTTTAGGGTTTAGGGTTTAGGGTTTAGGAGGCCTTAATAAGTACCTGTTTAGGGTTTAGGGTTTAGGGGGCCTTAATAAGTACCTGTTTAGGGTTTAGGGTTTAGGGGGCCTTAATAAGTACCTGTTTAGGGTTTAGGGTCTATAGGGGGCCTTAATAAGTACCTGTGCTAGTTTGGGGGGGGTTCCTTATTATGGATATACTAGAAGTTAAGGCCCCAACATTAGGGCCGATCTAGGGCTTCGGGGAGTTGATTTAGGGGCAGAGAGGTGCATGGTTTAGGATTCAGGACTTGATATAAGGGCTTTGATGGTTAGAATGGTTACGATGGTTAGAACAGAGGGTAGTGGAGAGCCCTCTGCTTCCAATTCCTCAGCCTCGAGCCAGTTTCCGCAAAAGGGTGTCGCAAAAGTAGTTAGAATAGGGCTTTGGGGGAAGGGGATATGCTATTACCCCTATATAAATAAGGCTAGATACTGTATGCCCAGAAAGGGTGGCTCCTAAGCCTCCTAAGCCCTAAAAAACCCTGAACCCTCAATGTCGTAGCCAACGTAGGGTTCAGGGCTTAGGGTTCTGTATCAGGACTTTCAGGGAATACTATTGGCAGTTCTTCCAGCACCTAATCTTACTGCCTATTGGCAGTTCTTCAGACCCTATTTTAGATACGGACAGGTCCCAAGCGAGCATCAGCCCTTCCTCCGAGAGGCCTTGTGCCAACTTGTATCCTAGTAAGTTCCTAGACCCTAAACCCTGCTACGCCTCCAAACCCTAAACCCCAAAGCCCTAAACCCCCAAACCCTAAACCCAATAAACCCAATAAACCCAATAAACCCTAAACCCTGAACCCGAGAACCCTAAAACTTTAAAGCTCCCAAAGCCCCCAAAGCCCTAAACCCTAGAACCCCTAAGCCCTCTAGGCCTCCAGTCTTGTGAGACCACCTGTAGGCCCATAGGCCCTAAAGTCGTGCCTTCTTGGGGTTCATTTTTAGAATCCTATAAGGTAATCCCCAAAAAGGAACCACTATGGGGCCTTAGGCCCTAAAGTCGTGCCTTTTTGGGGTTCATTTTTAGAATCCTATAAGGTAATCCCCAAAAAGGAACTACGATGGGGCCTTAGGCCCTAAAGTCGTGCCTTTTTGGGGTTCATTTTTAGAATCCTATAAGGTAATCCCCAAAAAGGAACTACGATGGGGCCTATGGGCAGAGACCCAGGTCCGATCAATGGGCCCATGGGCAGCGACAGCTGGTGGAGTGGCGACGACCCCATCAACTTCGAGACTCCTAGCAGCACTGACGGTTTAAGGTTTAGGGTTTAGGGTTTAGGGTTTAGGGTTCAAGGTTTAGGGTTTAGGGTTCAGGGTTTAAGGTTTACAGGGTTTAGGGCGTAAGGTTTGGGGTTTAGGTTTAGGGTTTAGGGTTTAAGGTTTACGGTTTAGGGCGTAAGGTTTGGGGTTTAGGCTTTGGGGTTTAAGGTTTAAGGTTTAAGGTTTTTTAGGGTTTAAGGTTTAGTGTTTAGGAGCAATATGGGGGATTTGGGCTACTATAGGTCTGTCTCATTATTCTCATTACCATTGTTATTGTTATCGTTGTTATTATGATTTCTACCATTTGTATTATTACATACTATTACTGCTGTCATCATTATTGTTCATCTTCTTCATTACGATTATACTTGTTTGTCTCCGAAAAAAGTTTCTATAATGTTGTTGTTGCTATTACTATTATTGTTGTCATTATTATTGTATGTGGTTCAGGGTTTAGGGTGACAGCCAGAGAGTCCAGGAGTCTTCGAGTGTTTCAGGTTTGGGGTGCTTTCGGGTGTAGGGTTCAGCGTGTGGGCTACCGGATGACAGCGACAACCCTAAACCCCTATAAACCCTAAGCCCGTAAACGCTAAATAAACCGCTAAACCCTAAGCCCTAAACCATTCGTCCTCTGAAGTTCAAAATACGTCCAATGAGCCTTCCTAGGTTCGGTTTTGACAGGTTGTCGCTTGCGGAAATCGAGATTCTCTTGGGAAGGTTGCGGGATTAGGGTTTGTCTCAGAGCACGGGGGTCCAAACCTTTGAGCTTCGCAGTATCCCTCTGGGCTGTGAGACTTCGCGTTTGGGGTCGAAGGTTCAGGGGTTCTGGGGTTTCTGTTGTAACTGACTTCCTCTTTCATCGTGATGGAGGGTTCTGGCAGATTCCAGGATTAACTCTCAGGGAGAGTTGGGATGGTGCTCCCGAACCATAAACCCTGACTTAAAATCTTACGCGGCAAACCCAAAACCTTAAACCTAAACCCGAACTAGTCACCACCCTAACACCGGAACACGGACGACGCCACACGATCTCAGGGTTTTGTTCGATTGTGAAGGTTGCCTCCGATGGCGGAAAGAGATGGACATGCCACCCCTCAAACCCTAAACACAACAATTAGGGCAGCCACATTCTGGACAAAGTCGGGGTTTGAGGTGTTGGGGTTCGGGTTTGCTGGGTGCATGCCGGGTGCACTTCCGCCTTGCTGTTGGAGTCCTACAGTGATCCAAATTCGTCGTCGGCCTGTAGTTAGCTAAAGGAGACCTTAGATCCCTGAACTCTTGATTAATAACCCTAAACCTTTGAACCCTAAACCTTTCAACCCTAAACCCCTAAACCCTCAACCCTAAACCCCCCGACCCTAAACCCTAAACCTTTCTGAACTTAATTCCCAAACCCACGGATGTGTATGTGAAGGCGCCAGATGACTCAGAAGAATGCGGTTCCAGCCGGGGTCGAGGAGGCCGCTCGAGGAGTTCAGAGCTTAAGTGATTAGAGTTTAGGGTTTTAGGGTT